GGCGCTGAGGGCACGAGGGCGGCCTGCCCTCCCTGCGGCCCCACGGAACCCCGCGAGGGGCCGCGTTCCGCGCCAGCAAAACCCGCCCCGCTCAGTCGGCCGCGGGACTGAGACATGCGGCCACGCCAGGCCCTGACTGGCCAATGCTGAAGGTTTGGGGGGGCGGGGGGATCCCACAGGGCCGGGGAGAGAGGGGAGTGGCTGGGGCCGCCCCTGCGGCTGTCTGGAGGCACAGCCCGCCGCCACTAGGGTTCTCGGAGTCCTCGCCTTCAAGGGCAGCCCTGCACCGTGTCCCCCGCCACCCTCCCACCCTCCCCGTGGGGAGACGGGTGGAAGCAGGGAAGCGCAGGGGGGCTGGCGGGGCACCACACGCTCGGCCGAGCCCGACCACGCAGGCCTCACACCTGGTTCTGGGCAGACTGAGCCCGTGGGGAGCAGCCGTGGCCCCCGGCGCTGCCCGGGGCGGGCCCACTCGGCCTGAGCTCCCATCGTCCCGCCCGGAGCTGAGAGCCTCACAGCGGCAGCCACAGAGACTGTAACTGTCCCATCTCACAGATGGGGAAACTGAGGCTCAGGCCGGGAGGGGCAGCGCCAGAGGCAGAGCCGGAGAGCCGCTCTCTCCGACCCACCCCGGCCCGGGCACCTGTCGCACCTGTCACAGCCACCTGGTGGCTCCCGCCCCCGGCACCCTGGGCTCTCTGCTGTGGGGACACAGGCCCCCCCCACGCAGGCTCCTCGGGCAGCGAGCACCCCAGCACTTCCGGCAGGGTGGGGCGGGCAGGGGCAAGGGGCCGTCTCTGCCCAGTGAGGGCGCGGACCTCTCCCGCCCCACGGCCCCTGCGCCCACGGGAAGGAGCGAGATTCCTGCGCTCGTCGGGGCACTCGGTGCTGGGCCACCTGCCCCCCACACCTGCGGGCCTGAGGGCGGCCCCGCTCCGGCAGCTGTGGCCAGATGTTCTCTGGCCCAAACTGAGGTCCCCTCACGGCGGGCACTGCCACCCCACAACCTTGGAGACTCCCAGCGGTTTGACCCGAATCAAGTGTGGGGGTGTCAGGGGAGGAGAAAAGAGGTGTTCTCAAGACACCCCAAGCTCCAGGCTCCCCAGAGGGTGCAGACCCCAAGTGCCAGCAGCGGGCCCGTGTCCCCTCACCACATCTTCACCTGACTGGACGCCCCACGGCTGCACTCTGGGGGCTCTGTGCTAGACAGCTCCCGGGCCACAGCCCCCGCCTCCCGCCCCTGCCCCCCACCTCCCCTGGCGTCCAGCATCTCCTGTCTCCTCAGCCTGTCACCTCTGGACAGTCGAGGCCTGGGGTGTGGTAAAGACCCCATCCGGTTACTGCCCTGGCCAGTCCCGCCACAGCGTGGAGTGACCACAGGCGAGCAGCCCCGCCCGCCCTCCAGGCCCCTCAGGTCCGCCGCCCCCACAGGAGCCGGCCCCATGCCGGGCATCGTGCACAGCCCCCAGCCTCCGCCCCGGGATCCCGGTGTGCTCCTGCTCGCGGGGGTGGGGGGGACCCCTGGCCGCTCGCCGCCTACGGGAAGCCTCTGCCGACCGCTCCCCGCCCTGGAAGGAAACTCGTGCGCCTGTGTGATGTGCGGGCGGCATCGCTGGTGCCTCTGGCGCCCAGGACTGGGGGCCGCGGGGGGGCAGGGGGCCGCGGGGGGCAGGCCTGGGATGTCGGGATGAGAACAGTGCGGCCTCTGCCTCCCTTCTGGGTGGCCCAGCTTCCTGGGGAAGCGCGACCCTTTCGTGGACAAACCGCAGGGCGCACTGGCCGATCCGAAGAATGTGGGGCCAGGACCCGGGACCAGATGCCACAGCCCAGCTCTCCCCGGGAGAAGGGGGACGGCGGCCGGTTCCCTCCGGACCTCTCCGGACCTCGGCCCTGGGGGTCTGGAACAGCCCGAGCTCTCGGCCCTGTGCCGAGTTGCCCCAAAGCCTTCTTTAAAATGTTGGGGTGCTCACGAAGCCCGACAATACCCGAGTTCACCAGGGGGTTCTGGAAAGCCTGGGGTGATGGCCTCGTGGTTGCACTCCCGAGGAAGGAGACCTTGACAGCTCCAGCCCCACCTGCTGGGCCCCAGGGCAGCCACACTCGGGGGCCACAGCCGAGGGGGGTCCGTCTGGCCGCCCAGCTCACGACAGTCAGGTCCCCCTCCAGCGGGGAGTGAGCGCACCTGGGCACGCAAAAAGGTGCTCCCAGGCAGGGAAGCGCCCGGCAGCTCCAGCGGTGGGCAGTGCCGTGTGGTGGGGTGCAGCAGGGCCAGGCCTACCTGCCCCCCACCGAGAAGTCGGCCACGGCGTAGTAGTAGGACTGCAGGACCTTGGGGTCCTTGAAGATGTCATCCCCAAACGTGTTGAGCCGGTCCAGGGAGATGAGGAGCTCGGTGCTGGTGACCCACTCCTGGGGAGACAAAACGGGGGAGGGGTGCCGCCAGCGTGTCCCCAAGTATCTGCCCCCAGCTGCTAGGCTGCAAGGGGCGGCGGCGCTGGGGCCCCCGGGACACAGGACACTTGCAAGGAGACTGTTTGGGGGCGCCAGGCCACTGCTGCCCTTGCACTTTTGGCGATGATGCCTGGTGCCCCGGAGCCTGGTCTGTGAGTGACAGCGTGGAGGGGCGCGAGGAGGATGACCAACAGTCTGCACCCCAGTGTCCCCAGGGGGCCCGGCACTGAGTCAAGGTGTGGGTGCACTGGGAACTCGGACTCAGAACCCAAGACCTGCAGTTCCTTCCCCACGCAGCCCACCCCGAGCCCAGCGGGGGAGTCGCCCGCGGCCCCCAGTCTGCTGCGCCCCGGTGGTGGAAGGGAGCTGAGGGGGAGCCCAGCCCTGTGCTGGGGGGGCTGGCGGCCGCCAGGCAAGTCCCCC